TAACTAGATCAGCAAATTTATCAAACTCATTGTCCAAGCAAGGAGCAACTAGGAATCAATTGTTTTGGGCCAAATGTAATATATGAAGTACATTAAAGGGTGCAAGGCACTTTTTTTTTTCATAAATAATTTAAGATTTCATTAAGAAAAGAGCATGAGAAAATGGAAACTTCCTGTCAAGAGGCGCAAGTTGCGCCCTCTCCAAAGAACAAGAAGAAACAGAATACAGAAAAACAAATTCAGCTAGCAATTCTGCCCTAGTAGAGTTCCCAATCCCTAGGGAACCCGAGTAAAGAAGGACCACATTTCCAAATTCATTCCTTAGTACCCCTCCCATTCCAAAGGGGCTTGGATTACCTTGACTGCTAGCATCGAAATTCAGCTTCAAAAAACCTTTAGGAGGGGGTTCCAAACTCATGCAGATTCTAGTCTTTAATGAGGAGCTGCTTGTTACATCTAACCAATTCCTCCATATATCATTAAAGGAGAATTGGTGGAATAAATCCAGGGATTTCACCCACCATATCACCCTACGCAGAATGCACTCCTCCAACTTGTATATTCCTCCTCCTAGAAGATTCTAGCATTTCTTTCTTCCCACACTGTCCATATCAGCACAGCTCTAGCACACCTCCACATGATTCTCCCTCTTTTCTGATGCCATGGGAAGGTAGAAGGATCAAAAAGCAAGCTTACTTCTGCTGGCCTATTCCACCTGCACCCAAACATCAAGAAGAGCCACTCCCATAACTCTACAGTAAAGGAGCAAGATATTAGTATGTGGTAACAATCCTTGCCATAAGATCTGCAAAGGATACACCAGTTAGGTGATATACGAAGGAAAGGTCTTCTCTTTTGAAGAATATCCAAGGTATTTATTTTCCCATAACACACTTCCCAACAAAAAGCCAAAAGCTTAGGGGGAATAGGCTTGCACCAGAATTCCTTAATAGGGAAGGGCTGGTTGGAAGGGGACTGAGAAAGGGGCCTGAAAAAAGCAGCACACAAAAAAGGCCCAGTCGGCTGGGGTGTCCAAACACGTTTATCTAGTTCAGAAGGGTCCGAGCAAACTTTGTCAAGGAGACTTAACAGACTAGGTAGGCAATCAATTTCCTCCTCCCTTAAGCCTCTACGAAACCCAAAATCCCAATTAGGTGCCAACGGATTTTCCAAGGGCAGTGTTTTAAACGCACAAGGCGCAAAAAAAGCGCAAAGGCCAATTTGCGCCTAGGCGTGCGCCTTTTTAAGAAAGGCGCAAAATTACAAAAAAAAAAGCTAACAAAAAAAGTCAGAAAATTCCAAAAAAATGCCAAAAGATTTAAAAAAAATGCAAAAAATTTAAAAAATATTAACCATAATGTTAATAAAAATATAAAATTAAATTTTAAAACAAATGATTTAAAAAACCTATTATCTAAAATTAAAATAGATAAACATAACATGTAAAGTGTATTCAAATGAAAATTTAAAAATAAAAGCAAACATATAAAGCATTTTCAAGCATGTAAAACCCACAATCTCTTTTTTTCCTTAATTGCATTGCTTCAAGTAGTTAATGTGATGTAAAACATATTGCATTCTTGATTCTATGAGTNGCATTGCTTCAAGTAGTTAATGTGATGTAAAACATATTGCATTCTTGATTCTATGAGTCGCCTTTGTAGCATACCCCTCAAGGCAAGCCCGAACAAGTCTATGTTAGGGTCTGAAATTCTTATTTCTCACATAAAAAATAATGATTTTACAACTTTCATTGCCTTTTAAGAAGATGTTTTATTGCAATGAATGAATGAACAACATAAGCAAATAGGGGGTTCTCGGAGCCCCCAGACCAGCCGTTAGACTCAAAAAACAAAGCGCAAAATTTTAAAAAGGTGCACGCCGGGGCTGAGGTGCGAGGCGCATCAAGCGCATGCCCAGGCGCACCAGGCGCGCGCCTTTTGAAAGAGGTGCGCCTAGGACCTGGGCGAGGTGAATACCCCAAAATGCTCCTCACCTTTGCGCCTAGGCGCGCCTTTTAAATCACTGTCCAGGGGGGGGGGAACAAATTTAGAAACAAGGTCTTTTTTTATACTGTGAAATAAAGAATAAAGAGGGGAAGAGATCATTTAAAGGAGCCTCTCCAACCCAAGTATCCTCCTAAAAAAGAATTTTGTAGCATTAGGGTGCTAGCACTGTTTTCGTAACTCCATTTCCTAATTAAAAAAAAAAAATCAGTTATCCATCAAAGAAAAGGGTACCTTCTAGACCATAAACCAGGATAGTTTTTGGGATGTCTATCTCAGAGAGTTTGTGACCCTATATCTTTGAGCAACTAAAGTTATGGCATAGCCATACTCATTGTGGTCATGTTTCTTCTTTGAAGTCTATCTCTTAGAGACATTTTCAATTTGTGTCACCCTCGGATATACAATGTGAAGCATGTCAACTTTCAAACCATTGTACAACAATATGTCAAAGATAACTCCTGCTGGTCGTAGTGGAGACTTGGGATCAAATCCCACCTACACCTGGGTTGGGGGATGGGCTACCCCCATTGTGAAGCCCTTCAAAAGACTTAAAAAAACAATATGTCAAGATAACAAGACTTAAGTATATAGCCACTAAGTTTGAAATAAAGGATCTTGGAGACCATAGATATTTCTTAGCCATTAAAGTTGAAAGGTCAAGGAAAGGTATCTTTTTTTTCTCTCAAAGAATTGTGTTCTGGATCTTCTAAAAGATATTGAAAAGCTTGGAGGTAATATAGATCCTAATCACAAGATATTTGGTATTGATGGGGTTGTGTAATACTAAACAAGGGAAATGCACTAGAGACTTACTGGCATACTATTATTTCTTTGTCCAACTCAACTAGATATTTCTTATGTTGTCAACGTAGTTAGTTAGGATATGCACCAGCCTAGACTTCACTTGGCAACTATTGAAAGCAAGGTTCAAAATATCGATACGCTTGATACGCCTCTACCGGCGTATCGGGCAATATCAATAGCTTTTCTTTTAATTTTTTTTTTTTTAGTTTTTTTTTCAAATCTGGTTCAGAGGGGCCGGTTTAAGGTCCGCCCACCCCCTGAACCAGTTGAAACCCCGATACACCCTCTATAGGGGCGTATCGAGAAGCTCCCAATACAATACATATCGGCTGATACAGCCTAGTACATATCGATACTTTGAACCTTGATTGAAAGGACATTATGCTACTTGAAAGGTACTCCATGAAGGGGACTACTATATACTTGTGATGGAAATCTCAAGGTTGAGGTTTATACTCAGAAAAATTGGCCAAGACCTCTTGATGACAAGAGATCTACATTGGGGTATTATACTTCTATAGGAGGTAATATTGTCTCTTGGAGTAGGAAACATTTTTGTGGCCATATTGAAGCATTGAAGCTGAATATATAGCCATGACACATGGAGTTTTAGAATTGTTATGTTTGAAGACTTTACTAAATAAGATGAGAATCAACTTCAAGAGACCAATGAAGTTGTACTATGGTAATCAAGCTGCTATAAACATTGGACATAATCCAGTACAGTATGATCACACTAACCACATCAAGGTTGATAGACGTTTCATCTTAAAACAAGTTGAAAGTGAATAAGTTTGTTTGCCTTTTGTTAGGTCCAACACTCAAGTAGTGGATTAGTCGAAAAAGGGAGTGCCAAGGCCTATATTTGAGGACAACTTGTCCAAGGTGGGTATGTACAAGTACAACACTTACGTCAAACTTGAGGAGAATTAAGATTAAACAAATTCAAGCTGTTAAGGTATTTTAGTCATTGACTCATTGAATAATACCAGGGTTTATTTTGTAATTATGGCATTGGTATAAAAGTTAATTGCCCAACCTTTCCCTTCTTACGGTCTCCCCTCATCCTTCTCTTTTATTTTCTATTCCTTCTTCCCTAAATCAATCTAGAATCAGTGGTTATCATTCACAACTCTGAATATTATATTTGTGATGTTTGGGTGAAGTCAAGTCAAGCCATTAGTCATGATTGTGTTTCAAATGACTTTCCAAGTACAAATTACAAACTCCAAACAATTGGCACTAGAAACTCAAAAGTTAAACACTAGGAACAACCTATGGATGCTACCTCCAAACAGGTGTTAATTCTTGCATGGTTAATCCTTAGTAGTGAAACAAAAATCTAAAAGGGAACTCAGCCACTGGATGCTAAAAAGGAATGTATTGAAAATGCTGATGAAAAATAATTGAAAATGTAATTTGTGGGCACAGGCCTGGACGTTCATCCATGGGGTTTATGTTTTTTTGTCCATACAGATAGTTTTAATTATGTTATCTTTATTCTATTTGTTTTAATCCTCTACATTTGAGTCATTCTTGAATTTAGGGGTTCATCACTCCTATGGGTGCTACCTCCAAACAGGCATTAATTCTTGGATGGTTAAACCTCAGTAACGAAACAAAAATCTAAAGGGGAACTCAGCCACTGGATGCTAAAAGGAATCTATTGAAACAGCTGATGAAGAAATAATTGAAAATGTAATTTGTGGGCACTGGGCCAGGGTGTTCACCCATGGGGCTTATGTTTTTTTCATACAGATAGTTGTAATTATGTGAACATTATTCTATTTGTTTTAACCCTCAATATTTAAATCTTTTTTGAATTTAAGGGTTTATCACTTTTCTTATCATAAAATTCTCATTATTTTTTTTTTTACTGTAAAGAATCAAAAGAAAGAAGAGGAAAGAAAATCCAAGTATAGAAAAATGGAATAAGCCTACAGGGGATGCACAATTTAGTGAATTCAAGTTTTAGAAGGTCCCCGCTGTGATCAGACAACCAAAAAAAATGCTTGAACAATACAACAACATGGATGACAGAAGTACTAGCTAAACATGAGTGGAAATAAGAACTGAGACTCAACAATAGAATTATATGATTTTGGATGTTTAAAGAGAAAGTTCATGCAGTTTCCCTATAACAAGAAAAAACATGAAGCACATATAGAATTCTGAATACCGGTGTACCTTTATGGGCTTTGGATGGTCTTTGTTGTGCCCAACAGTTTTCAATATGCCCGACATGAGACTTGTTCGGACAATCTGGAAAAAGCAGGATTAATTAATGCTCACTGAACTTCAATACAAGAAGAAAACCCCAAAAAAACACATATACAATTGAACAGGCACCTAAAGTAAATACAGAAATACTAAAATTAAACAAACAAGCTCTCTCTCCCTTTCTTTGTCTCACTTCCTTTGCCTTTTTTTAGTGTAAAACATTTTTTTTTCCAAATTCCATGCTAGTTTGGATATCCTGTTTGATAGAAGCCTAGGTTTTTATTGATTAAGAAAAATGAGTATGTACAAGTGCCAAAGTGCCCAAAGAGGTGACCACTATCACCAGCCCTTTTTCTTTTATTTCTTACATATGTTCAACTGTGTATCCTTTCCCCTATTTGTAAATCATCAAACAGCCCCCAAAAATAGCTGATTCCTATTGACACCCCTTGGCCAAGGTATCAGAAAAGCTATTTTCCGATCTGTGAACCCATGAATATGTGATGTTTAAGTCTCTTATTATTGATTTGATCCCCCTCATGGAGCTTCTTTATTGTCAAGTTCCCATTCTGCTTCTCATCCAGCCCACCACTACTTCTGAGCCCCCCTTCTATAATCAAACTTGTGATATTTAGTGATCTACCCAGTCTTAAACTGTGTAGGAGTTCTGGCAATTGTGCTGATATAGAGTTTCCAATAGACTATCAGGCCCAAGTAAATGACTTTGATATGGCCATTACAGTCTATAATAACTTCTCCAATACCCAAAGGTGTATCCATCAAAATTTATATGCATCATAGTGAGATGGGTAGAGTTGTTTGGATCTATTGGATTTTGGCATAGAAGAGTCAGCCACCAATCACCATCTTGTTTTCTTTCTTTCTTTCTTTCTTTCTTTCTTCTTTTATTTTGATAGGAAACAATAACTGTCATTAAAATAGATTAAATGAATACACAGGTCCAGTCCCCATAAGAAAGGAGACTAGCCCCCCTGAACTTTTCAATTTACAATTCAGTACAAAACAATTCACCCCTGTTTGTCCCTTGTTTGGCTAGTGTATCAGCCAAATCATTTGCTGATCTTCTGACCCATCTAACAGATGCACCTAACTCCCTTGATAAACTTCTAATCTCCCTCGAGGCCTGCCTGTGGATCCAAATTCCCAAGCTACCTCTTTGTAACCACCTTATCACCAGTTTTGTATCCTCCTCCACTTCAATTTGTTGAAAGCGGAGCTGTTTCGCCAATCTCAGCCCTTGGAGGAGAGCTAGAACTTCAGCTCTTAGGAAGTCTTCTTTTCCTACGGGTCCTGATTACAAAGCCACCACTCTCACTACCCCTTCTCTTATTACTATGCCAGACGGACCCAGGTACCAAAGGAGCTCCCATCAAAGTTCAGCCTTAGTCTTTGACTTGGTGATGGAGCCCAAATCTCTTGTATGACAGCCCTTGAGTTTGAACAAGTTGTCTGCATTTCAGTTTCTAGTGATATCATCAATGGAAACATCCTTGAACAAATCCAAAATTTTTACTCAATGTGCAACCCGGAACAAGATGTTGTCAATTAATTCCTCCTTTGTCTTCACCTTACCCTGAAATATATGATTATTTCTTTCCTCCTAAATTGCCCAAACTATTGCTGCCCTTGTACCTCTCCACAATGTTTTGCCCTTTTTGGCTGTCTAAAAAAGCTAGCATCAAAGAGGCCTGAAACACAAGAAAGATGTTTACATCTACAACCAAAGAGATTAGAAACCATTCCCAAATGCTTGAAGCAAAATAGCAAGAGATTAAAAGGTGGGCTGCCAACTCTTAACAAGCAAAGAAAGGAAAACAAATACTCGGGGAGAGACACCAATTTGGTCTCCTTTTTTGCAACAAGTCACAAGTATTAATCCTGTTAAGAACCACTTCCCAAGAAAATACCCCAACTCTTGGAAGTACTGGGCTGCACGCCTGCACCACACTTCCTTAGAAGGAAAAGATGCTAGCAGGCCAGAAGAATGAAGAAGGGCATTGAAAACAATGTTTTCAAAACCAGACCGGACGGTCGGACTAGAAAAACCGGGAACCGGTCACCTGACCGGTTCCATTTTACCCCAGAACTGTCTTTTGGCCAAAAAACGTTGATTTGGTCAGCAAACCGCTGACATGGGCAGTCGAACCGTTCGAACTGTCCAACGGTTTTTGGCCATTTTTTTAATTTTTTGTCAGAACGGGCCCTACGTTCGGTTCGAACAGGAACCAGACCCGGAAGTTCGTTGTCTGGTTCGTTTTTTAAAACCTTGATTGAAAAAAGAGGCACAGGAGAAGAGGCCTGAAAGAGAAACTAACCACACTCGAGAGCCAGGAAGGAACAATACTTAGAGCAACTCATCAAGGGCCCCCATTTGAAACTCTCTAAGTTCTCCTCAACCCTAGTTCCCAAGCTGCCCCATCACAATGTACCGAAGAAATTGATTTTAACTTATGCAAAGGAAGCGAGTAGATAGAGGGAAATTTAACCTTAAGAGGGATCTCCACAAGCCAACTATCCTCCTAAAAAATCACATTACTACCAGAACAAGCACCATACCTTGCAAAGGAAAGAAAAAAGGAACCATGAATTACTTTCAAAGGAAAGAAACAGCTTGCCCTCAGATCCAAACCAACATCCCAACCATTTATTGCTAGACCATGAATGTTGACTATTACCCTGTACCACAAACTATCCTACTCCAATGGAAACCTCCAAATCCACTTCCCTAACAAGGATATATTCCTCTTTTTGATGTTACCTATCCCAAGGCCCCCTGCTCCTTACTTTGTGACACTATCTCCCATTTCACCAAGTGGTCCTTAGAATCTCCCAACTCCTAGAGGAAATTTCACATAACTTTCTCTAGATTTTTTGGTAATTCCCACTAGGATGTCAAAGGTAGACAACAAGTAGACTAACAAGTTTAACAGATGGATTTTATTAGGGTGATTTTACCTCCTAGCAAAATATAATTACTTTTCCACCCAACCAGTTTCTTTGTGAACCTCTTCCCAAGACTGGAGCCCAAAAACTCTCTTGAGTATGGAAAGGCCAATTCTCCACCTCACACCCTAAAGAAGTAGCTAGATTAACCTTTGCTTCCCTCAATTCTTTAACTCCTACAAAACAACTTTGTTCCCCAATTTACCATAAGATTGGATACGCTTTCAAGTTGTAAATTAAACATTTCCTCCTCCTCACCTTTGCAAAACAAGATTGTCATCAGCAAATTGTAAATGAAACACCACAACACCCTCCCTCCCCATAAACACCATCTCTCAACAAAACCCCTTCTCCTTAAAACTTCCAAGAGAAACTCCTAACCAACCAAATCATAAGCCTTCACTATGTCCAACTTATAAACCACCCCTTCTTCCCTTTTTCTTTTCCTATAGTCCAAGCACTCATTTGCAGTTAGAATTTGATAAATTATTTGCCTACCAGCCACAAAGGCACCTTGATTGGGGAAGATTAGAGAGGGAACACTTTTTCCTATCTCAAGGCCAAGACTTTTTGCAAGGATTCAATACAAACTTCCACCAAACTGATTGACCTAAAATCCTTTGGATGAGATACATCCACTTTCTTGGGAATCAAAGCTATGAAAGTTGCATTTGCTCTGGAAATAAATCTGCCTTTGATGATATTCCTCAATAACTCCCAAGAGATTCATTCCATTCAAACCCAGTCACACAGTTTTTTCTTTTCTTTTCAGTCACCAAGGTGCGGAAAAAAATTCAAGTTAATATCCCCCTCCTCAAATGACCTACATCTAGATTTTTGTCTCCAACTAATTTCTTCTGTCCACAATATCTCTTCCAATTCATTTTTTGACTACCATCTATCCATTCTTTCTTCAAAACCCACCTCCTATTAGCTTTTGCTTCATCATCTTCTAGTAGCCTCTAACCTATCCACTCCTTTTGTTCTAAATGTCCAAAGACTTCCTTAGAAGCGGTCAAGAAGCTTTAAGGTCATAACCCAATGACATAATTTTACCAATATATCCTCCAAGATCTCTTTTTATGTCTTGACTTCTCTAAGAAGTTCCTACCATTCCTCTCCTCCCAAATAGATCAAAGAGCAATATGTAAATCAATCCTCAAATATTATGTGTAAATTTGAAGATTAGAGGGGAAAAAAGGAAGAAGAGAAGTAAGAGCAGCAGTACAAGAGAAGAAGATGGCGAAAAGAGAAGGAAGAAGAAAGGTTCGAATTATCTTCCCTTTCTCCTCTAATCCTTTTTTTATTAAGAATTAATGTTAGAGTAAACAAGTATGCCCTTAAGTGGGCGGCCAGCTAGGCAGTAACATAAAGAGATTAAACAAAAAGAAATAACAGGCCCATTAAGAGAGGCCCATTAGCCAACAAGAAAAGAAAAGATATTACAAGAGAAGATACTAGGACCTACTCGGCCTAGTCTCTTTACACTCCCCCTCAAGCCGAGCATAGATGTCAATCATGCCCAGCTTGCTTATATAGTGTGTCATTTTACCTCTTGGAACTCCCTTGGTCAAAATATCAGCCCATTGTTCGTCTGATGTGATGAATGGCAAACAAACTTCTCCTGAGGAAACTCTTTCCCTTATAAAATGTCTATCAACCTCAATGTGCTTAGTACTATCATGTTGAACAGGATTATGTGCAATGTTGATAGCTACTTGGTTGTCATAGTAGAGCATCATTAGCTTCTCGTAGTCAACCCCCAATTCTTCTAAAAGGGATCGTAGTCACAGTAATTCTAACACACCATGTGCCATTGCCCTGTGTTCTGCTTCAACTGAGGATCTAGCAACTACAGATTGTTTCTTACTCCTCCATGACACAATGTTCCCAGCGACTAGAGCACAATAACCTGAGGTGGATCTCCTATCATCAATACATCCTGCCCAATCAGCATCAGTAAAAGCTTCCAGCTTCATGTGTCCATGTTTGGCAAATAGAATACCTTTCCTCGGAGTACCTTTCAAGTAACACAGAACCCTTTCTGCAACAGCTAAATGAGTATCTTTGAGAGAATG